GCAGATTATGAAACGTAGGGATAGAAACAGCTCTACACATCTTATACGAATGTGAGGCACTGAATCACAGGAGGCAGGCGATATATGGACGTACAAAATCCAGAAGAATATGACGAACATTCAACACGGAACCTGTACAAACTAGTACAGGGAACAAGACTGATGGAATGGGTGTCATGAGAAGATGGGAGAATAAACCCATTAAGTCCAAGAGGATGCAGTGTTTTCTGGAGACATGGACTAAATGGACAAGTCAAACAACTCCCAAGGGACCAAAAAAAAAACAATGGTTCATTACATTAGCCCTTATATACCACCCCTGTAGGTACTAATAGAGGTACTTGGCTTGATTGAGTACCTGAATTTACAGTTTACAATATAATGACTTTGATGTTGTTGCCTTGGGAGAAACTTGGCTCAGGGAAAGAAGTGATTTAAACTTATTCAATCTCAGTGATTATAAGTTCTTGCAGACTGATAGAAATGGTTTGGGGGGAGGTGTAGCTTTTTATGTGAAGAATCACTTAACATGTTCTGTCTTGCACTCTGCCAATTAAAAAAATAAAAACCGGTTTTTAATTGAACACATTAATAATAATAGTAATAATAATAATAATATGTCTTTATTCATCACAATGATGATTACAAATTAAATAAAATTCGAAGAAATGATGAATAGGCGGAGTTCAGCTATGAGAGTTGCTTTTAAACCCAACCTCGATTGGTATGTATTTTTATTATTTTGTATTATATTCGAAAATGTGGGAAATTGCCACCATATTTTGCATATGTCGTGCCCTATCACTGTCGTGTAAGAAACATGTCTTTCAACCTTTTCTTAAAGTTTCTAAATGAACTTTCTTTGAAGTCTGTAGGGGTGGTGTTATACAACTTTGCCGCATTGTAGAAGAAACTTCGAGTGAATATTGCTGGGAATGAGCAAATTATGCCTATTACGAGAAGTGCCACTGTGTGATAGTGCAACTAGTATTTTACGTAAGTAAGGCGGATATCACGAAACAAGAATTCTATGCGTGAAACTGAGCAAATGGATTGCTCTTAGATATTTGAGTGGAAGGCATCCAGAATCTCGAAAGGACGGACTTATGTGATCATACTTTTGGATACCGTAGGAAAATCTGACACAACTATTTTGTATTCGGTGGAGTCGCATCACATCTAATTGTTGTAAGGCGGGTCCGTAGATACAATCGCAGTACGCTAATTTTGAAAAAATAGGTGTTTCACAGAGATTCAACTTCAGACTTTTTGATAAAAGGTGTCTACTTGGATAAAGTTGTCTTAATACATTGAATGACGTTTTACACAGATGACTTACATGCTTCGTGAATCTCATGTTAGTATCTAACCACAAGCCCAGATTTTTACATTCATTCACAAAAGGTATTATGTTATTTTTGACACGGATCGACAATGACTCACACACAATATTTTTTTTACTTTTGGGACCAAATAACATGACATGGGATTTCTTTGGATTGATAGTAAGATTATACGCACAGGATACATCATATAGAGTTTTGAGGTTTCTGTCAATATTTTCATTAGCAGGTGTAATATCTTTGAAGCTGAATGAACTATACAATTGAGTATCATCAGCGTAGTGATGTATTTTACCAAATTGATGAAAGTCACTAATATAAATTGCAAAAAGGAGCGGTCCCAGGACTGAACCTTGCGGTGCACCAACTTTTTTTGATATTATTGTTGATTGGTTACCATCAAGGTAAGTTGATTGGGTCGTTCCGGAGAGATAGCTATTTATAAGTGACACTGCATTATCGGTGAAACCAAAGCACTTGAGTTTTATGGACAATAAAGAAGGATCCAAGGTATCGAATGCTTTACTGTAATCAAGCATTAAATGACATGTGAAATTTCCTCCATCAAGTGATTTGAATATGTCGTCAGTGACGAGACTCAGAGCCGTAGTAGTGCTATATAGAGGGCGAAATCCAGATTGAACGGAGGTAATAAGATTTTTTCGTTCAACGTAATCTGAGAGTTGTTCTTTAATAATCATTTCAAAGACTTTTGAGATGGCAGGAAAAATACTTATAGGTCTAATATCAGAGAACTCTGAGGGATCGTTACATTTTGCCAATGGCTTAACTCTAGCATGTTTCCATTGAGAGGGAAATTTACTAGTCTCAATGGCAAAGTTGAAGATATATGTTATGTATTCCAATAAATGGGGCAAAACTAAATCCCACATACGAATTGTGATTTCATCAGAGCCCATAGCATTACTACTGATTTTATTAAAGTGCTTATTCACTTCATACGAGTTTACATTATGAAAAAT